GTTCAGGGATCGTACTTGACTTACGAGGACACTTATCTTGCCGTTACCGGTGGATCCGGTATCTTTGCAGGGGTTTCCGGTCAAGTGAAATTGCAGCAAATCATTTTCCCTTTCAAGCTATTTTACACTTTTTACTTGAAGGGTATTCCGGATCTGCCGTCTGAGTTGCTAGTTACGGCGGTTCCTCCGTCGCCGACGGTGGAGCCAGCACCTGAAGCTAAAGCTTGTGAGGCTGGGGCCACTCTGAAAAATTTCACTAATTGAGTGGGGTGTTAATGTGCAAGTTCGACTTTTCGTGGGGTCATTTCCGGAGAATGAATAATGATGAAACTGTAGGATAAATAATTATTGTCCTTTATATATTTGCCTTTTTGGTATCTTAATTATTGTAGTTTGTTAAACTATTTTGTACTCCATTATGTAATACCCAATCTTCATTACTGGAATTTTCCCCCAATGTAAGTTCATCGTTTCCTCTTGAGTTTATGTTTTTTTTATGTATATTATCATGTCACTTAAATATTAACTACGAGTAATTATTCATAAAGATTAAAATTTAATACTAAAAAAATAAGACAATTATTTGTTGCACATGTGAAATACGCTAATATGTACAAAATAATTTACACCGATAGTGTTAATAAAGTTGGTCCTTTTTCATTTGGTGGTTGTTGTATTATGAATGCGAGGACATATTTGTTTGAGGTCTCAGTGCTCTACTAAACTGAAAAATGACACGTTTTTCTCAATATTTATCTACTAGTAGTGCGCTCATAACATCCGGTTGTTTTCGGTTTAAAGTGCTTTACAGCCTGTTTGGCCCATCCGAATAAATTAGTTTATTTTGAGAAGTGTTATTTTTAAAAATATTTTTGAAAAAAAATACTATCCGAGATAAGTAGTTTGTGTTTAGTTAATCACTCTGAAAAACACTTTTGAGCAATAATTTGTGTTTGGCCAAGCTTTTCAGAAAATGCTTTTAAGTATCAAATTATGAATAAGGATATGAATATATTTACTTAATAATTAATATTATAAGTAAATAAATAATATTAAAAATTTATTATTACAAGCAATAATTAAATCTTTTCATTTTATTTAAGTAAAATATAAAAATAAAATTTAAAAGTACTTAATTCTTTAAATATAAGTTAAATATATTAAAAATCATTCAACAAATATAAAAGCATTCACCCTTAAAGTCATTATATATTAGAAAGCTATCCTAAAAATAATAAAAAATATTTATATATTAATATCTTAAGTATTAGGTTTAAATGTTATTTTGGTATATACTATATTTTGTTAAGGTTTTTTTTTTTGTAAGAAAAAAAGTCAAAACTGCTTCTGCTTTTGGGAAGAAACTACTTTTTTTCTGCTTCTCAGAAACAACTTCTACTTCTTCCCAAAAATACTTTTTTCCCCGAAAAAAACTTGGTCAAATACCTCAAGTTAGAAAAAAAAAGTACTTTTGAGAAAAAAAATATTTTTGGCATCTTGAGAAGCTTGACCAAACAGGCTATTAATGTTGTGATATTAGCTGTATTCAACGACTGTTGTTCACATCATTATGGCGATCGCAACTTACCAATATATCTTATAGTTTAAGACAACAAAAAAAAGAAAATTCCGAACCCACAAGTTTTTTTTTTGTGTTCTTAAGAAATTTAATCTTCTTACAGTTGTCCGATATTTTAGATTAATTTCTCCTAATATAAAACGGAATAACTATTCTGTGATAGCGGCACTTCAAATCACAGAATTTGGACGAACTCAAATGACGGAATAAATCACACAAAATGCTTACGTTTTTTGCCGAAGCCGAGCGACTATGACGCGAGACTTGCTCTCTTCTCAACTCTTTAAGAGCTAGAAGAAATGGTTCCATATATAAGCACAAAAATTTTACTCTTTCTAAGACAACGTTCTTTTGTAAAATGAACTAATTCAAAATTTCATTTCCCACCATTTTTCTATTCACACCTTTTTTGTTTTAATTAACAAAACCCCACAATTCTTCCTCCCACTTTCCTTTCGCTCCTTAGGCCTTACCAAACATAAGCTGGAGTATATATCAGCAACTACCTTTATTTTGAAACACAAAAACAGCCATGTGCCGAAGACCTAACTACTTAAGTCCATAACATGTGATTTGCTGATGCATTGTCTTCTTTAAAATTAATACTAATAATTCATATCATTAACAGACATTAAGTATACTGTTTTATAATCTATGTTCATCAACACATGCTTTAGAATATAATATAAGTTTTGGAGTTGGGATGCCATTTTTCTTACCTCAATTAAAACTAATCTTTTATTAATCTTATCATCTAGTTCATGTACTTGATGGACTTATTTATTATAGACTTATAGGCTCAAGAAAAACATTGTTCTCAAACTTTAATTTCCGAAACAAAATGTTGGTTTGCTCCAAACGGTACAACAACATACACAGCGGAAATTAAGTTTTTGGAGGATAGACTATATGCAATCTTACCTTTACTTTGTGTGAGATAGAGTTACTATTTACTATAGACCCTCGGCTCAAAAAACGCCTTGCTCCAACCTGTCCGAAACGAAAATTGGCTAATGCAATACCATATGAAGTTACAAATCAGAGAAGTTGTTAGGAATTAATTTGAACAGCTGAAAAAGGAGAGGGGCGAATGAGAAGATAGATATGCTGTCTAAGATAAAGAGAGTGCTCCAAAAAAAAAAAAAAAAAAAACTTGGAGAAAATACTACACGATAACTAGGTCAAATTTTTTTGCTAAGGGTGTTCCGATTTAACCTTTAATACATATACAAAACGGCAAAGGGCCAAATATACCCCTCTACTCTCGAAAATGGTCTAAGAATACCCCTCGTTATACTATTGAGTTATTTATACCCCTGCAGTCATACTTTGAGTTCAATATACTCCTCATTTAAATGGAGGGATACGTGTCATCGTCCTGTTGGTCAATTCTAAATATCTCCTAATTAATTAAAAAGACTCATTACCCATACCCGAAAAATAATTTGTTTTTGTAAAAACTGGAAAAAACTAAATTATTTTTTTTACTAAAAACTGCTAACAACGAAAATATTTTTTTTTTCCAGTTTTTACAAAAAAACTGCTTTAAAAAAACTGAAAAATATTTTCTAAAACAATATTTTTGTAAAAACTAGAAAAAAAAAATTGAAAAGCAATTTTCTAAAGCAATTAAAAACTGAAAAAAACTGAAATATTTTTAATTAAAAACTGAAAAAATATTGCTTTAGAAAATTACTTTTTAATTATTATTATTTTTTAGTTTTTTAAAAAAATATTGGTTTAGAAAATATTTTTCAGCCTTTTAAAGCAGTTTTTGTGTAAAAACTGAAGAAAAAAAATATTTTTGTTTTTTTCAGTTTTTAGTAAAAATAATTTCAATTTTTTTCAGTTTTTACAAAAAAATAAATTACTTTTAAAAATTGCTTTTCAGGTATGGGTAATGAGTCTTTTTAATTAATTAAGAGATATTTAGTATTGACCAACATGATGATGACACGTGTACCTCCGTTTAAATAAGGGGTATATTTGAACCCAAAGTATGACTGCATAAGTATAGATAACCCAATAATATAACGAGCATTATTCTTTGATCATTTTTGAAAGTATTAGAATATATTTGGCCCTTTGCCGTATATAAAATAATGCCAACGAACGTGGAAGGTCATAGTGAATGTCAAACAAAGCACCTGGCAAAATCCAGAATTTGAACATTATTTTATTTTCCAATTGCCAAAACGAGTATATAGTTTGGGTGAATTCTACTTTTAATATGGTTCAGATCCATATGCTCACTGAACTACCCTCGTCTGATGATTTTTCCAACGGTTGAATCTTGAATATTGTTGCAAATGTTATAAAATTCTTCTATAAGAACAGCCCCATCTCTTCATTTATTTACTTTTTCAGAAACTCTTTTAGGCCTAGAAGTAAGTCAGTAAATAATAGGGGATGAGAATAAAGAAGAATACTGAATGTCAAATCAAATCTTAGAAGCCGTTTGGACATAATTCTTTTCTTTTTTCCAAAAAATATTTTCAAATCAATGTTTGATTATATATCTAACTGAATTTCGAAGACAAGTTTACAATTTTTTGAAGATGAGTTTTAAATTTAAAAAGTAATTTTTATCTCTTTTTCGAGTAAAAAATAATTTCCTCTCACAAATCTGTAATAATTTTTCAAGTGAAATACATGCACAAATACAATTTTAATATTCAAATAATTTTTTTTAACTTAACTTAAAAATTTACTTTTTTTAAATATTTTTTATTTTCAAACGCCTACTTAGACCGTAATCTGCAACTTCACTCCCGTTCTATTTACTCCATTTTAATCTTTTTTTCAATTTGCACAATGAATTATATTATCATGGCTTCCCTTGTTTATGTTCTCACAACAACATTGCTTTGTGTACTCTAATAAAATTAGGACTCAAAACTTAGAAGGTTTGTGGAATATTTTGGCAAAAATTTCCAAAGCTTTCAAAAGTTACTAGAAATATCTCATTAGGATACCGTCAAAAAGTTATATACACCGCTGGGAGTGTAAATATTTGTGGGTCAATTAATTTTTTGGCCTTTTACAAACTTGTTTTTAGTTTTATGACCTTATCTTTTTTTTTTACACATGAAAAATTTATTTTTACACGTAAGAGATCTAAAAAAGATATTTTCTTAAATTTAACATTGTAAAAGGCCAAGAACACCTAAAACCTCAATATTTGTTGAGACTACAAACATAGTTTAACTTTTAGTTAATTAGTATATTAGATTATTAATTAATGCTTATAAAAAATTTACTCTTAATCTAAACTTATCTCATTATGGTAAATATCTGGTTTAGTGAAATAGTTGAGGGCTTTTAGCTTACCCATCAATTTTCTCTCTTTCATCTCCACTTTACCTTTTTCATGTGCGTCACGACTCACGACATTATTCACCACCAAAACCAAAACCAAAACAAAAACCAATTCATTAATTGCAAAAAAAGAAATGGTTCGTCTCCTTCTTCTCCGAACATCAACATCAACATTGCCCCAAAAACCGGTCCAAAATCCAAATTGTCCGAAACCCATTCCCTTTTCTCCTCCTCCTTCTTCTTCATCAAACTTCATTACAGTTTCACAATAACAATGGTTGTTGAAGCTCATCAGCTATTTCTCCCAAAACCCCCTTTCTTTTCACCTTCTTTCCCTTCTCCACCCCCTCACTTTTCTTCTTTCCTCTTTGACCCTTCTTCTCTCTCTTTAGCTCTCTTCCATTCCGATTCCTCTATCTCTCTCTACCCTTCTTTTTCCCCTTTCTCTCTCTCCTCCTCCTTCCCTCCTCCTCAAACCACCCTCCCTCCGCCCGTTTCCTCCGCCGCATTCCTCCTCCTCCGGAACCCTAACCCTTCTACCCTCTTTCTCATCTCTTCTCCTATCTCCGGAGGCTCCTCCATTCTCCTCCGCTTCTACATCCTCAACGCCGCCCGGAAAAGTTTTACTCCGGCGAAAGTTGTGTGCAATCACAGTGATATGAAGTTTGACGGGAGTAAATTCGGGGTTGTTTTTAGGGTTTCTCATGGGGTTTCGCTGAAATTGGTTGGGGATGTCAATGTGTTTGCTCTGTACTCTATTTTGAATGGTAAAATTTGGATTTTTGCTGTGAAGCACCTGAGGGATGATGAGGTGAAGCTAATGAAGTGTGCTGTGATTGATTGTTCATTGCCGGTGTTCTCGATCAGTCTTTCGTTTGGGTTCCTGATTTTGGGGGAAAATAATGGGGTTAGGGTTTTACTCTTGAGGCCATTGGTCAAAGGAAGAGTTATTAAGAAAGAGAAGAAGAGTTTGAATGGTGGGTTAGAAAAAGATAAGATGGAGATAAAAAAGGTGTCTTTACGAAATGGGATGATTAATGGAATTAATGCTGAGATTTGTTCTGCTGATGGTAACAAATTCACTACGGAATTGAAGTTCCCTTCCAATAGTGTATTGGAGGAAAGGATCGAAAACCGCACTGGATCAGGTGCTGAAATACTTTATTGTTTGCTGTCTTTTTGTAGCTATTTGAGAAGCTTAGGGTGGGGACTCCTAACGGTTTTAATGGTTATTGCTTTTAAATTGCTATTTTGCATTTCTGGTGATATGGACTGCTTAAGCCTGGATACAGGAACATGTATCTACTATGTTACTCAGGTTTTTACTTTGTTTAGTCCAGCATATCTTTGTATAAAATTGGGTAAGATCATAGTATTCCTCAGGGTAATTAGCTCCTTAAAACTTGTCTATGTACTCTATGTAAAAGCAATACTTTAGTGGGTATTTCGTGTATACATTGCTTGGATTAGTTTCTAAGTAAAAATAGCTGCCTAGAAAGGTTAAATAAAATGAACTGGCTTCCTGCTATTTATCCGCAACTTTAGCGACCGCTGCACCCCTCTCAAGACCCATAACTTCACAAGTCACGGGGTTTGACTTTCTAAATTGTCTTCAAAAGAGTACCTTCTTAGTATGCTAGGTAAATACATCCTATTAGAATAGTCTGATACCAACAATGTCATGCTTGGGATAATTTGAGCTTCAGATGTGTTTCATTGATATAAGTATGTTATGCAGATATACAGAATTTGACGGATGTTAGATACTATCACATCTGTTAGAGAGTATAAGTAACACCCATGGATGATATAATGAGATGTTATCTAAAATGGTTTAGTTATGTCATACGTAGATCTCCATATGTGCCGATTCATAGTTGCAATATTATAATGATTAAAAATGATAAAAGAGGACCTAAAATCAAATGGAGAAAAGCAGGCTAAAAGATATCCAATTGATTTGGAATCAAGCAGACTTAACTAAGAACATAATTCAATATAATAATAGGATCCTTATAAGCGATACCAATTAATTAAGATTAGGTTTATTTACATGCCGGGTGTTCGTCAAAGCGTCACTTTATTCTGGTTAGAGACTTATATATTCGTATAGGGATAAGAGTGAGATGTACATAACCTCTAGTTTTAGAGAACTCTTCAAATTAGTTAGTATCAAAATGAAATGAACGTGAATAGAGCAGAATGGATACAAAGGATTTTTATCCCTAAATGTCTTCTCTGTAGCTTCAGTAAATAATATTGATCATTTTTTGTGATTTTGCTAACTTCCTGATCTTATGTTAGAAAGTAGTCATGTTATGGAGCTAACTTTCTCTTTTCTATCCATTGCATCTTCTTGATGCCATCAATGAATATGAAACTACTTACTTTATCAAAAAAGGGATTTTTATAGCACACCCTGAATAATTGGGATTGAGGCGCCATTGATTGGTTGACTTGTAACTGGTGTAATATTTTGTTTGACTTATCAAAGATACGGCTTTAATTATGTTGTGAGTTCTCTTTAGATGATACACCTCCTCCTCCTCTTCCATTATGGATCTCTTTCTCTCTCTTATATATATATATATATATATATATCTCTCTCTCTCTCTCTCTCTCTCTCTCTCTCCCTCTCTCTCTCTTTTCCTTTCCGAGAGACACATTTATTGTCTTGGAAACGAAACACATCTATGGTCTGAAAGGTATCATCAAGAGTGAAGAAACTAAATGAGATGGTGATTTCATGGAAATTATCTGGTTCGGTTACAGTCTTGGATTAGCATATTTATGTTGGAATGATGGTGATGCTTTATTCCAGTTCTACCTTTACCTGCACGGGCACTGAGAGTATTTTTTGAGTTTATTATTGTATTGAGTTTCATATACGTTTAAAATATATATTTTGAAATGTGAAAGGTTGAAGTAGTTATTTAGAAAGATGTCAAAATCGACCTTGAGATAATGAGAACTAGCATTAGTTATATTTTCTTGAATTTTAGGAGTTAGGATGCAGAAAAAAGTTCTGTTAAAAATATTGGTAATGTTTTTCAAGATGGATGACAGAAGAGAGTAGGTCAAGTATTTTGGGATGGAGGGGGTAACTTTTCTGTTCCAAACAATAAACCAACAGGTTAGGGTTGCAATATTTTGTCCTTATCCGCCATTTGTGACAGACCCTCCCTAATGAAAAATAGTACAAAACAAGTATGACACCAATGATTTGTATGATGTCACTGTTAAAGTCATAGAGTGCGGTGTGAATTAGTTGAGCTAATGACCGAACTGAAGACTGTAGTCCTAATTTCATTCTTTGAATTTTGGTGCCGAACACTTGGCATTCCGTTTCTTGGCATTCCCTAGTTGCTACTATTTTCATGTCTGCTTCCATCACCATTTTTTTTCCCTTTTTTACTTTTATTTGGGCTGGTCTTGTCTTAATTTGTGACTAAGGTACCTCTGCTATTTTTGCTATTTTAAAAATAGCATTCCGTTTCTTGGCATTCCCTAGTTGCTACTATTTTCATGTCTGCTTCCATCACCATTTTTTTTCCCTTTTTTACTTTTATTTGGGCTGGTCTTGTCTTAATTTGTGACTAAGGTACCTCTGCTATTTTTGCTATTTTAAAAATAGCATTCCGTTTCTTGGCATTCCCTAGTTGCTACTATTTTCATGTCTGCTTCCATCACCATTTTTTTTCCCTTTTTTACTTTTATTTGGGCTGGTCTTGTCTTAATTTGTGACTAAGGTACCTCTGCTATTTTTGCTATTTTAAAAATGTAATAATGTATCATTTACAACTTGCTTTAAGTTTTCTGTGATTTCTCCGTCATATTAAGATCTTGAAGCTCTAATTTTGTCATTTCCTACAGCTGCTGATTGTGCATTCTAACTTGCAGCAAAGTTAAGGTCTGTGAGACTTAGACAAGATTCCAGAGAATGGATTGCAAGCTTTGTGGCATTCAAGAGCAAGGATGATAATTTCGAGTCAATCAAGATGCCGGCTAAGTCAGCAAAAGCAATTGGCATTCAGGCCTTGTCTTCAACCAAGTATCTGATCTTGGACTCTGAAGGAAATCTTCACCTCTTGTTCCTGGCAACTTCTGTCCAGGGATCAGAGACTCCTTATCACATGAAACAGTTGACTCACAACATGAAAGTTCGAAAGCTCGTTGTTTTTCCGGATTCTTCTACAAGTATAAGCCCATCCCTTTCAATTCATAACTTTGTGTTCATTTTGTTCTTTTTGGGGGATGTAACGCCGTGTTAGTTTACTAATATCTTGCTTCAGAAATTTATATAAAAAGGTTATGTCATAGAATATCAGCGTTCTCCTTTAGCTTTATCATGAGAATAAAAAACTCTGTTCTGTAATGCCATTGAAGGTTCCATCTTTTCAGGATCACAGACTGTTTGGATGTCAGATGCTATCCATACTGTTCACATGATGGTGGTGACGGACATGGATACTTCTGTCAGTCAAACTGACAGCAAAGACCCTGCAGAGAAGCTTGTACATACTTCAGGTATTGTTTCTCATGTATTATCATGTTTCTAAAATAGGAGAAGCATTTTATATCATGAATTATGCCTTTAATATTTCTGATTCAGTTGCCTATTAAAATGATATGTAACACCAAATATGCACTCAGTTCAAACTTCGGACGGTTTTACATGTATGAGGATATGCTTAAATGAAGAACATTCATTTGTTTATTTTAAGATTGCCATCCTTGTATTATCAGCTCCCTTTTTTCTATTGATATTGCATTGTGCTATCACAATCCAAGTGGCATTTAGGACTTAGGAGGGTACATGGGTTATTCCATTAGATTCCCAAGGTGCTCATGACTATGTCATATCAAAAGTGCCTTCAAAGTTCATCAATACTGTATTTGTCTACCATCAGGTGATTGGTGGTTTGGTTTTCAGTGAGCATCGTTGTTATCTTCAATGGATCTTCTAGCCAGATAAATCCTGGTCTTTCTTTTTCCTCCCTGAGTTTTTGGATCCTCTTAAGAGTATAATCATCTGATTCGTAGAGCATCTCAGTCTTTCAATAATTCTGCATGTTTATTCAACTTGCAAATGTTCTGTTCCTTGAGGTTATTCCAAAAAGGATGAATTAATTTTATTAAATACGTGATTGGTCTTTTCTGACCACTGATCATATCAGTACTGATCATTTATAAAGTTAGAGCTATTAGCAACTTAAGTAACTGTTCTCTTCTTTTACCTTTATGTAGTTGTGCAAGCAATATTTTCCAGTGAAAAGGTCCAAGAAATTGCAGCTTTGGCTGCGAATACAGTATTGCTTCTTGGACAAGGTATGCACAACTAAAATTATATCTGGAGCATGCATCCCTAAATTTTTTCCTACTAATGACAAGAGTAAAAATTCAATCAAGGTAGTTAGTGTGCTTGAATAAAGAGTATTGTTCAAATTCAAAGCTAAACTAACATGCTTGAGGTCATCCATTACAAGGTAATTCTTTCTTTTGTGCAACTGTTGGTCAGTTAGTTTGACCTTTTTAATAGTAGTTGACTGTATTCGGGCACGTTTTTGCCCCCTTTTTTAACGAAATTTATTACCTTACCAAAAAATAAATAATGACAACATTCTTCCTGTTCGATTTATTGAGTTTCATGCTCGAAATAAATGAGTTGACTTTTTAAATATTAATTTACAACATCTGCAGGTGTAATTTGTTGCCTTATATACTAGAAGCATTAGCCCTAGATATTGCAGTCATTGGCGGAAACAAACTCTTTGTTATAAAGAACTTCTGCTGATCACGCCCTCTGTTATTTGCAGGAAGCATGTTTGCATATGCAATTTCCTAGAGATGCTGAGTGGTTCTTTTTGGTCGGTGAGTCCTCCCCTTCTTAACATATTTTTTCTACCAGTATTTTTGATTTTCTGACAAGGTGATTTCTTATGGGCATCGGCAGAAATTTCTTTGCTTGATTGGTGTCAAAAAGATATTTACATGAGCTATCTTACACATAACTATGAAGTTATTTTGTTTGCTCGTATGAAGAAATTTTTTCATGTTTACAGTGCTTTATAAACTAAATTCATGCACCCTTTAGCTTTTGAAGACTTGGAAATATAAACCTTTTCTCGTATCCCTTTTTTTTTGCAGGTTATTCATGTTTCACATTTGGATAGAAAAGTAATGCCAATTGGGTGGTTTTGCTGGAGTTCTCTTATGAGAGCAGTAAGTATTAGAAGTGATTTGTTTATTATAAACGCTCCTTCTTTAAGTTTTAGAAATTGGTCATCTTCATTTGTTTCACCTGGCTATTGTACTTCTTTTGTGGGTATTGAGCAGTTTTTGGGCTGCAGTTGTCAGTATCTATCAAATGGTTCATATCAAGTGAAGGAGACTGAGCTCTTGAAGTAAGCATCTTGATCTTTTCATTTCTCACTATCTCTACCAGATGAAAAACTTTTCAGTATCTGGGAGAGATGTATTAAGAAATTAAAATTAATATTCAAGAAAACCGACCGAAATCGGTCGGTTATTTCAATTAGTCATTTTAAAAAATCGACCGACTTCGGTCGGTTATTTTTCCGCGAAAATACAATTAAATAGTACAAATAAAATAAAAAAAAGTCTTAAACCAAAATGTGCCAATGGTCTAGTGGTAGAATGATATCCTGCCAGAGTACAGACCCTGGTTCTATTCCCAGACAATTCATTTTTTAATTGCATAATTACAAATACCGACCGAAATTTAGGTCGGAAGTTCGCGATCAACTTCGGTCGCTATTTATTACCGACCAGCTTAATTTCGACGGATTAAAGTCTGTCGGAAATCGGTGAATTTTTTCAGTTTTCTGACCGATTTCGGTTGGTATTCCTGGACGGTTTTAGGTAGTTTTCTAGTAGTGATTATTAATACTTCGTATCTCAAAAAGCTAGAAAAATAGAATTTAAATAAAAACATATCTTATAACTTTCTTTTAAAAATTTAGGCCTCATACTAAACTTTGGCTTTAGGCCCTTCATATACTTGAGCCGCCCCTAGTGTGGGATTAAATTCATACCACGTTTGGTTGACGGTATAAATTTATCTCAGGATAAATTTATACCATCAACCAAACATGGTATAAATTTAATCCCAATCTTAATACAGTATAACCCACCTTATCCCACCTTATCCCATCAAACCTGGGATTATATTATCCCACTTCTCAGGTGGGATAAATTAGTCCATGGATTATAATCCCAAAATTATAATCCCGGAATAACTTAGTCCGCGTACCAAACGACCCCTTAGGTGTCCTTTGGTTTTAAGTAACAAGAAATTTTAATCTCTATAAAATTTTGTATTACTTATACAACATTATTTTTTTAAAAACTAAATCTTGCATTACTAATATAATCTTCGTATAACCAACACCACATTGGTTTTTCGCATTAAACTCCACACAAGTACTTATACGAAATTTAAAACCAAACGATGGAATTCCGGTATAACTTATATGTTACATGCAATAGAATATGGAATAAGAATATGTGTATTAGCAATACATGGATATGAGTATCTAAAAACAAAACGCCCCTTGGATTAGCTAATTTCCACGTAAAAACACATGTATTATTAGTTCACTACATAGCAATCCTGCTTTATTATTTGTCTTTTAACAATCCTTACGTTATTATTCATCGCATATTTAATCTCTATATTTTAGTCCTTGCATAACTAGACTTAGTCATGTAAATAATAGTAATTATTAGTCATAGTTTTAAATTATGTTTGTTTTCATTATGGTTTACTAATAATATTTATTTTATGCGATTTTATTATCTTTATTGCTGAATATTTTAGTACAATGCCATGACTCATCTCATATTTATGTTATTTGATTGAAAACACCTTATATAGTTATGTCTTACTAGGATTTTTGAAATATTTGGAGCACAAATTTTACGTTTTGTACTTTGAAGACTTTATGAAAAAACCCGAAAAAACCCGAAAACCCGAGAAAAATCGAGATTAAAAAACCCGACTTTTATTGGTTTGGTTTGGTTTGGTAAAAATCCGAACCAACCCGACTCATGTACACCCCTAGCCACATGTAACAACAACAACAACAACAGACCCAGTAGTTTCCCACAAATGGGGTTTGGGGAGGGTAAGATGTACGCAACCTTACCCCTACCACTGGAAGGGCAGAGAGACTGTTTCCGATAAACCCTCAGCTAAAGAACGACTGAAAAAGAAAAGGTAAATGCAACAAGTAGGAATGACAGCAAGATGAAATAAGATCGAATCCAAGAATGCAGTCAAACTCTAGATGGTAATAGTCATCTATGGACAAAAGATATCATACTAACACTAATGCTAGCGAATTGAGTAAGACAAAGAGAAACACTGACTACCTACGAACCTTCTACCCTAATCTTTGACCTCCACACCCTCCTATCTAGGACCATGTCCTCAGTCAGCTCCAGCTGGGCCATATCCCGCCTAATAACCTCTCCCCAAGACTTCTTAGGCATACCTCTACCCCTCCTGCTACCCACCGAGGCTAACCGCTCGCACCTACTAACTGGGGCTTTTATTCTTCTCCTCTTAATATGCCCGAACCATCTCAACCTCGTCTCTCGCATCTTATTATCCACAGTGGCAACTCCCACATTTTCCCGAATAACTTCATTCCTAATCTTATCCAACCGGGTATGCTCACAGATCCACATCAACATCAACATCAACATCCTCATCTCAGCTACTTTTAGCTTCTGGATATGAGAGTTCTTGACCGGCCACACTCTTCCCCATACAACATAGTCGGTCTCACTACAACCTTGCAGAACTTACCTTTAAGTCTCAGCGGCACATTCTTATCACACAAGACACCGGAAGCGAGCCTCTACTTCATCCATCCTGCTCTGATACGATGCGTGACATCTTCATCAATCTCCCTGGCCACACTCTGCTCCATACAACATAGTCGGTCTCACTACAACCTTGCAGAACTTACCTTTAAGTTTCAGCGGCACATTCTTATCACACAAGACACCGGAAGCGAGCCTCCACTTCATCCATCCTGCTCTGATACGATGCGTGACATCTTCATCAATCTCCCTGTTACTTTGTATTATAGATCCAAGATACTTGAAACTACCTCTCTTGGGGATGACTCGCGCATCAAGCCTCACCTCCATATCCCCTTCTTGGGTACCGTTGCTGAACTTGCACTCCATGTATTCTGTCTTGATCTTGCTCAATTTGAAACCCTTAGACTCTAGGGTCTGCCTCCAAACCTCCAGCCCCTCGTTTAACACCATCTCGCGTTTCGTCAATTAAAACTGTCATCAGCAAATAACATACACCATGGCACCTCACCTTGAATGTGTCTCGTCAATGCGTCTATCGCCAAAGAAATAGGAATGGACTAAGAGTTGATCCCTGGTGCAACCCAATCATAACCGGAAAGTGTTCCGAGTCTCCTCCCGCTGCCCTAATCCGAGTCTTAACTTCATCATATATGTCCTTAATCACCCTAATGTATGCTATTTGGGACCCCTTTAGCCTCTAAGCATCGCCAGAGCACCTCTTTTAGAACATTGTCATATGCTTTCTCTAGGTTAATGAACACCATGTGCAAGTCCTTCATCTCCCTATACCGCTCCACCAATCTCCTCACAATGTGAATGGCTTCCATAGTCGAAAGCCCCGACATGAAATCGAATTGGTTCTCAGAAATGGACACACTGGTCCTCACCCTCACTTCAGCCACCCTCTCCCAAACTTTTATAGTATGGCTTAGCAGCTTAATCCCCCTATAATTATTGCAACTTTGAATATCACCCTTGTTGTTATACAGAGGAATCGTCGTACTCCACCTCCATTCATCAGGCATCTTGTTCGTCCTAAAAATGACGTTGAACAGCTTAGTGAGCCACTTCAAACCTGTCCTACCCGCATTCTTCCAAAATTCCACAGGTATTTCATCTGGCCCAGTAGCTCTACCCCTGTGCATCTTACGCATAGCTCCCTCGACCTCCTCTACTCTTACGTACAATACCCGAAATCTCGGTGCATCTCGGAGTGCTCCAAGTCGCCCAGCACAATGTCCTTATCACCATCTTAGTTCAGGAATTTATTGAAATATGTCTGCTATCTTCGTCTAATCTGAGCCTCTTCCATCAAAATTCTAATTTCCTCATCTTTGATACATTTAACTTGATCCAGATCACGGGTCTTCCTCTCTCTCACCTTGGGTAGCATGTATAGCTTCTTGACCTCGCCTTTGCCCCCAACCTCTTCATACAAACGCCCAAACGCCGCAGTCTTAGCCGCAGTAACCGCTAAAATCGCTTCCTTCTTAGCCTCCTATACCCCTCCCTGTTCATCCTCTTCGCCTCCTCGTCCATGCTCTCTATAAGCGTCAAGTACGCCGCTTGCTTGGCTTCCACTTTCTCTTGTACCTCCTCACTCCACCACCAGTCACCTTTGTGGCCGCCAGAGAAACCCTTCGAGACCCCTAACACTTATCTCGCAACTACTTTAATACACTCCGCTATCGTGGTCCACATACAGCTCGCTTCCCCGCTGCTCCTCCAGGCACTCATAGCCAACAACTTTTCCCCCAACTCCTGCGCTTTGTCACTAGTCAAAGCACCCCACCTGATCCTGGGTTGACCATACACGACCCTCTTCCTCACGATCCCCAAGTCCATCACCAATAACCTATGTTGAGTCGTGAGATTCTCGCTTGGAATAACCTTGCAATCCATGCACACTCCTATCACACTTTCGGAGTAGATAATCAATTTGAGTCTTGGCAAACGAACTTCGGAATGTAACCAAGTGCTCCTCTCTTTTCAGAAAACACGAGTTGGCAATCATCAAATCAAAGGCTTTTTTTTAGCACAGTCCAACAACGAAGTACCTCCTCCGTTCCTAACTCCAGGAAAATTAGCTACATGTAACATATTAACTAATAACTAATTCAGTCATACGACATAACCAGAAGAAGTCACATATAACTATTTTCTTAATTAATTAATAATAAATAATTAAATTAAAATATTAGAAATTTTACTATATAATACTTAAAAATATTATTAATAAATTTAAACATTTTAATAATTTGAGTATTACTTTAAAATAATATAAATATTTATATCAAGAATAAAAAACCACACATTGATCTATATTATATTAAAGGATGTAAATGGATAATAATATTAAATAAAGAGGAAAGTTAATGAAGGCCACATGAAAATATGAAATACTATATATTACGTAACGTAATAGCAATAATTAAAAATTCAACAATATTTAATATTAGAAATAAAAGATAAAGATGATTTGAACTTGAGATTAGATTAAAATTATGGTAAAACGCTCAAACTATGGAAAAGACCACAAAATTAAAGTTTTACTAGATAAATAAAAATAACAATTGGATAACAAATTAAAATTTTAAGAATACAAAATAAATGTTTCATCTAGGTAATTTAGTAACGAAAATAAAAGTTAAATTTGTATCATGAAACTAAACGAGAAAGAAACTTTAATTGCACGTGATATAAAAATAATTATAAGAAAATACAATAGATTTAAAATATACTCCCTCCGTTCCAGTTTATGTGAACCTATTTCCTTTTTGGCCCGTTCCAAAAAGAATGAACCCTTTCTAAATTTGAAAATAATTTAGCTTAAACTTCCAATTATGCCCTTGATGAGAAGCTTTTATAACCACACGAATACTATGGACCCCTTTATGACATGTTTAAGATCACAAATTTCAAAAGTTTTTATTTTTTCTTAAACTCTGTGCCCAGTCAAACAGGTTCAGATAAATCGGAACAGAGGGAGTAATAATTTAAAAACTTATGTATTAATATTTTAGACTAATTCAAAGTTATAACTTAAAATAAAATGTGATATTTTGATTATATAATAAAATATTATTATAAAAAACTAATTAAGATTTCATAATAGGGGTAAAAATATATCAAGAGGAAAATAGAGAGTGTCAGAATATTTATACTTTGAATTAATTCATGGATAAATATATTAAATAATTAAATAATACTCTAAGAATATTATTGATAGATTTAAATGATGAAAGATCTCTGAGTACGAGGATAAAAGTATTACAATACATTAATTTTTAATCAAAAAGTTATATTTATATCATTATAAAAAATGTAATAAGAAATATATTAAATCAATTGGTAAGCTAATAAAAAATCATATGAAATTATAATAATATTAAGTAATGAATAATGCAGCAACTATAAGCAAAGATTAAATAGAGATTTGTTTTTGGTGAAAATGCAGAAGGATAAGACTTATTCGACTTTGAGGTAAAACATAAAGTGGTAAATAAGAACTTTGTTAAAACAATATATTCAAACAAGACATATTACAACGTGATATGTTTAGTATTCTTTAATTGACCACAGAATAAAATGCAAGTACTAAGATCAAGGGGTTGGGTTGCTACAGATATAAAAAAGAAAACATGTTATCCAGTACGAAATATGAGAAACGGTCTCATGTCCTTGTTAACTGATATCTAATAATTATATGTAGTTTTATTTGGAAGATTTAAATTTTAACGTAATTGCATATAATCTAAATAACCTAAATCATAATTTGATATTTGTCCGCGTGGGTATAAATACTAGTTTTTGAGAAGGAGAAGGAATTTTTTTGTTATGAGAAAGATGTCGTCATGCCACCACAACCATATACTTCACAAACAATGCATTTATCAATAATTTGTAGATGCATTGAATAGTTACGGTAAACTATTCGTGTGGAATAGATTATGCTACACAGTCCTCTATGCGACCCTCTAACCGATCCAATTTCTCAAATGTTTTTTCACAAAATATTTTTGAATCCTAAAAACACTAGCAAAGTTATACATTTTTATCTAAATCATGGAAAAACTAAAAAATAGATATCCAACACTATTTTCATTCATAATACAATCGAATTGAATGTCTTTCATTAGCATTAGTATTGATTTGATTTTGGTTTAGGATTTATTTGAGTTACTAACATTTATGAACTATAAAACTTATTGGACCATCCAAAAATTATAAGCCCAAGCTTGAAATAATACGTTAAAAGATAAAACTATGAAAAAACTTAAGAAATATTTATAAATTACACTACCATAAATATTTTTATGTATTAAATATATTTCAAACTTCTACACATATAATGTCGGGTTGGTTTAGTTTCGGTTTGACTTTTTTTAGTTAAAATCAAGCCAAACCAAATATGGTCGAGTTTTTTTTTCCAACACCAAACCAAATCAAACCAAATCATAGTCGGATTTTTTTTCTCGGTTTGACTCGGATTATCGGGTTGGTGCGGTTTGTCGGTTTCATTTGTACACCCCTACATGTGGCTAATTTTAAGGCCGTCACTTGGCTTAAAGAGAGCTTTTCCATCTCCTTTTAATAATATATAGATACTCAAACTTATTAAATTGTTTAAATTTATTAATAATATTTTAAAGCATTTTATAGTGAAATTTCCAATATTTGATTTTGTTATTTATTATTAATTAATTAAAAAAAAGTTATATGTGCCTTTTTCTGGTTATGCCATATGGCTGAATTATTTATTAGTTAATAGTTAATTAGTTTATATATTACATGTGGCTAATTTTAAGGCTGCCACTTGGCTTAAGCAGCGGGCGTTTTTCTCTCCTTTTAATAATATATGGATATAGATACTCGAAATTATTAAATTGATTAATAATATTTTTAAGTATTATATAGTATAATTTCCAATATTTTGATTTAGTGATAAACTAATCATGAATTATTAGAGATATGTGACTTTTTCTGGTTATGCCATATGGCTGAATTAGTTATTAGTTAATTAGTTAATATGTTACATGTGGCAATTAAAAAATATTATTCAAGATATTTCAAGAAGGCTTAAGGAGAGAGTTTTTTCCTCTCCTTTTAATAATATATAGATAGTAAAATTTCCAATATTTTGATATAGTTATTTATTTTTATTTAATTAAGAAAAAAGTTATATGTGCCTTTTTCTGGTTATGCCATATGGCTGAAGTAGTTAATAGTTAATTAGTTAATATGTTACATGTGACTAATTTTAAGGCTGCCGCTTGGCTTAAGGAGAGGGCTTTTTCTCTCCTTTTAATAATATATTGATGATATTGATATTGATGATATATAGATAGTAAAATTTTCAATATTTGGATTTAGTTATTTATTTTTAATTAATTAAGAAAAAAGTTATAGTTATGCCATATGGCTGAATTAGTTATTAGTTATATTAGTTATTAATAGTTAATTAGTTTATATGTTACATGTGGCTAATTTTAAGGTTGCCACTTGGCTTAAGGAGAGGGCTTTTTCCTCACGTTTTAAATAATATATAGATGTGTGCGTGGTGGCATGAGTTATATAGATGTTCTTATGATGGATTCTAATCTGGTTGAGATGTCATTATTTCTGGGTTAACTTGTGAAGGGTGAATAATTGAGTCAATTCAACTAGATCTTCAACTGTTGTATCTGGGTCGAAATTTAGTTATTGTGTTTTTGTTGGTAGAGAAGCTATTGGAGGATCTGACTATTGGCTGTTGGGCGAGGTCAAGTCATTCAGCAATTGATGCCCCCCCCGTGCTGCACGACTGCAAAGATAGTACATTGTAACCAGTGAAGCTGCATGTATGATGATATAAGTGTTACATGTGTTCCTGGTCATGGTCACTCAACATTGATATCAAGCATCATCCATGTTGAGACGGGTGGTAAGAGGGCTTCTGCCATTGTATCGGCTTGTTTTTGGATGTTAGCTTCTAGCTTGTCAGAATTATGTATACTTAAGCTGTCATACTACATCCAATTCTTTAGCTTCTTCATAATTCGAGGATGTTAGTTAGCCGGGTAACAATTTCCTTTGACGTTCTATCTCTTTATTACTATTATCTCTTGAGTACAACTCAACTTGGTGGTGACTTAAGTGGAATATAATATTTTGTTTTCACCATCTGTGCTAACTTCTGCACTTGTATGCAGCTTAATTTCAATTTATGTTGAGAAAATGAAGTTTAAACTGTAACTACCAGGTAGAATCAATCATGTGTGTTACCACTTTACAATGAAGAAAAAGTAATTGAGGCTTTTGTTTCTTCTTATCGGCTTGCTGCTGTTTGAAGTGTGGTCCGGGTGAATTGTACAGCAAAGATTCTTCAGACATCAATTCCTTGTCTGTAAACAACTGAACAAGTTGGGGTAAATCAATATTCAAAATTAGGGACAGAAAATAAAGTTGGATTCTCATTTCCACTAAAGAGTTGGGAGCGTACAAATAATTATTTCCTTTTGAGTGGCATTTGGCCTGATATCCACTAGTTTAGAGGCAGATTTAGCTAGAGTTTTGTGAATTCAATCAAACTTTGCATTCATATATAATAGTAAAAGAAAACATTCATATTACAAAATGGAAAAGTGCGACAGTCGAAAATGATCAACATCTTTTTCTCTTTTAAGGATCAAATGACTAAATGTAACATGAGACAATTGAATATCTATCTAAACTGCCATATGAAACCTACCTTGCATACACTTGAGACAAAACCTGACAATGACTATGTGCCCACAAGATAATGGACCTACCCCTAATTATTACGAGGATGATCTTGACATCTTCACATGTATTCATAGATGTCCACAAATANATATATATATATATATATATATATATATTAAACTTGTCTTTAAATTATTATTTGGCTATATATTTCATTGAATTTTGAAGATGAGTTTAAAAAAAAGTCTAAAAATGAGTTCCAAATTTGAAAAAGTGGGTTTTACCTCTTTTTCAAGTAAATAATGTTTTCCTCTCTCAAAACCATAATATATTTAAGTGAACTACAAGTCCAAACACAATTTTAATTTTTAAATACTTTTTTTCAACTTAACTTAAAAAATTACTTTTTCTAAATCTCACAATTTTTATCTCCAATCGCCTGCTAAATTTCATCCTCTCACGATATTCATTATTCTCCTTTCTCTTTCAACACAATCTTTCCAACTCACAATGAAAATAACCCAACACTGAAATTTTATCCCCTCCCAAATATCTCAACGATATGGCCATCAATTGGATTTTCTCGCCTAATATATGTCTTTATTACACTTTGAAATTTTATTGAATTAAAGAATTTTAATTTGCATAATAAAGAACTTTCATCTCTTAAAATTTTGAATGTAGCAAGGCGGGTATTTCCAACTGTCCCTTTCAATGTTGGCTGCTTCAATTACAAAGCATTGCTAGGTTTATTAGGAACTTTTTGGAGACTAAACAATAGTTTCCTTTTCTTTTACTTTTTTCTTCCAAATATGAGGGAGTATATTGTGGATTCAAGAAGGGGAAAAGCTACATCTTGATGCTCTTTCATCTGGTGGATGGTGTTGGAGGAATTACTAGTGCTATTGAATTATATGTCAGGAGAATATAAAAGGCAGCACGATGTACTAAGCTCCCATTATTCGCGGGGTCCGAAAAAGTATCGGACCACAAGAGTCTATTACATGCAGTTTTACCTTATATGTTAGGAGAATACATATTTTGGTATATCATGCAAATAAGAAAACCTGGATGAAAAGCCAACCAGGCCAAAATACTAACCCGCCCGCTTTCATAGAATAATATTATGGTGCATATTGGAAGCGACGGTATATATTGTTTAACTAAAATTAAACAAGAAGATTAACAAAATGAAGATTGATTACATTCATCTCATCTACAGAAGGCTATATCATTTGTACCAAATATTAAGATGGACCACAATGCATGTCCCAACAATACCCCTAAATTGGGAATTGAACAACAAAACGGTGACCCATCAGAAAAAGAAAGATGAACAAATGGTCATTAATTATGATATAACCAAATTGTATGTCCAGTACGGGGTATATTTACCTACTCTAGTTCACTTAGTCACCAAACTTCCTCTCCATTTTTTTATGTAAAATCAATATCAGATTGGACCTCTCCTTAAATTTTATTTGCAGATAAACCAAGTATTCATCTGGCCCACTTTTAAACCTCATAATTTTTTCTTGTTTTTTCTTTTATTTTCAAAAGAGGGTGTGGGTTGCTTTCAAATTGGAAATTTAAATTTGAAATCTCTGAGGCTTAGTTTTTGGAAGTTACTTGTTGCGCAGCTGCTATTTTAGCATCTTTTTTTTGCTGATTCTACAGTCAAAAGTTTTTTGAAATTTATATATCCTCCTTTCTTTTTATTTAAAAAGAGAACAACTTTTAAAGACCACCCAAAATCTTCATTATTATGAAACTAGAACCTAGCATGGAACAGTCAACTATTGGAAGTTCAAGAAGAAGAGATGATGGAGACTTCAACTTAAGAGAATGGACTCTAAAGGCCAAAATTAGCAGAGAAAATACCAATTCAAGAAGATTTTCAGCTTCTTATATTAGAAGTTTCAGAGAAGATGCTAAGTCTTTTAGATCAAACATATCTATTTCAAGTACTGCTTCTTCCCCTGGCTACACCTTAAGAGGTAATACAACTAACACTATTTCCCTCTTTCCTCATCATTATTGTTTTATACTATTTTCTTATAAAGTTTTTATCTTTCTTACAGAAGAAATTGACCCTTCAACTTATTCTTTTACCGCTGCCCTTAAAGGTGAATCCTTTAGAATATCAGTTAAAATTTCTGTCGTTTACACATGCTAATTCAACATCTAGCGTCAATGAGTTCAGAATGCGTGATATTTTAATTTCTTTAGCATATGTGTATGTTCTAATGGGAGCCTTGGAACAGCAGTAATGTTATCTTCGTGTGATCAATAGGTCACACGTACTAGCCGTGGAAGCAACCACTGATGTTTACACTAGGGTGGGCTGTATGCATCACACCCTTGGGTACGGCCCTTCCCCGAACATTGCGTGAACGCGGAATGCCTTGTGCACCGGGCTGCGCTAGCATATGTGTATATTGTTTGAGCCAAATTCTTCCATTTTTCAACTTCACAGAATTTTTGGTTTGTTTGTTTGAGTGCAGCATTGCAGGCAAAAACAATATATAGTTGGGAATACATGTCACCAGATGGATTGGCTCTAAATTCCAAGTGGAATGAGGCTGAGAAATATATCTGTAATCCCTTATCGGGAGAAGTTCCTTTGGAATGTCTATCTGCGAAAACACTAAGTGGGAGATCATTTCGCCAATTAACCAGCAAAATCACCATGTCTGCACCTTTGATTTATCCTTCTCAATTTCAGACTCGACAATTCCAAACAAAACCTCCTACAAAAGTAGTACCTCATTTGCCTACACATGAAGTTGAATTCCAAATTCCAAGCAAAGGTCTAAACACTTTTTATCTTTCCATTTCTTAGTTACTATAATATGTTAAATTACATTATTTGTTCGACTTACTATTTTGTACATTTTTATTATTATTTTAGAGAAGAAGGTTAGCATTACTAGAGATGTGGGAATACAGAGTAGTAATCCAGCTTACATAAGTTCAAGGAGTCCAAGTCCTGCTCGTACTCCATCCATTGAGGAAAGATCTACAAAACGGTGCGAAGCAGATGCTGATGATTCACCTATGACTACTCCTGAATTAAAATCTGAGAAACTGGTACGTAATATTTTGGTACTTTCTACGATAAATTCCAATACTAGTTAATTACTCCAATGTTTGCATGGTCTACGATAATTACTCCCTGTACTTTTAAGCGAACTTACGCATAACTTGATCACTTCACTTAACCATCATATTATTTTGAGTATAACTAATACGTACTAGTAATAGTGTAAATGACTTTTACATTGTCTCGTTATTTAAAATTGAAATGTCGACTAGTGACCTAGAAAATAAGGTAAGCAGCCCTGATAACTTATAAATTCTTTTCCTTGACTAAGTCGAATAAGTGGCGTAGCCACCCAATGCCCGGGTAGTCAAGCGCCNTATATATTATTTTAAACATTCTTAACACGGTTGAGACAATCTAGCGGTTCAGTGTGTTTAAAGTGACGTTTTGTTCCAGGGTTCAAAGTTCTGCCGATTTGTTTACCAAAACTAAATGGAGACCATCATGTGTGGTCGATTTGATTCTTTTTCAATCTAAATTTTTTAATAAAACAACTCTTAAAACTTAAAATTTGTATAGAAATAAAAAACTAATCTTAAAAGTAATTTTTAACTAAAAGTTATTTCTTAAATAAATTTTATAATTTAAAAATCAAGCTTTACAAAAATTTCTTCAACAAAAGCTCTTTAGAAACTACGAATTCTCTCAACTCTCTATTTCCTTTGGTTTTATGCTTACTTTTATTATTAAAATTTCTAATGTTATTTTTTGTTATTTTAATTTTGATTTATAAAATTATAGTTCTATTAATTTTTTTTATTGTTTAATTAAATGTTGGGTAGTTTGATTTAAAAATTTGATACACCATTCATGGATAAAAAACAATTATGACTTATTTAAAGTTTAAACACCCTTGGCGAAATTCTTGGCTACACCACCGAGTCAAAAATGATACTCCCTCCGTTTCAATTTATGTGAACATGTTTGATTGGACACAAAGTTTAAGAAAAAATGAAGACTTTTGAAATTTATGATCCTAAACAAATTAAAAAGGGTCATTCTATTTTAACTTGACCAAAAAATAAATATGAATAGAGTGAGTAATACTTTTCGTACTAGGTGGGGGACTTTACAACTAATTGGTCCCTAGAGCATCGTTCACATATATTAAGTACCATGCACATGCAAAAATGACATTACTTGCATTTGTAATTGTGGGCACTAAATAAGTTCTTGTGCTGCTTCTTGGAACGAGTGAGACATCGTAGCTTTCAATTGATTTTTTCCTTTTTATTTTAGTTTGATTTTGTTAGAAATGGTTATTAGCTGTGCTTGTAGAGGAAAAAGTCACTTTAGGAAGCCAAAAAAGTTATGCGCTCCACCGAAAAGATTCTTTAGGAATTGTCATCTTCTCAACTATACTTCTCAATAATTCATGCAAGAAAGAAAAGTTTCTTTCTAGTACCATATCGGCATCTCCTTTATCAAAGTGAATTTAACTTATATAAAATTCTTTTATACTATTAATGTATTTTAATTTATTATTTTTCATGTTATTATAGTAGAGCATAATCACTTCTTCTTTTAGGTGGCTGAACGTACTTGTGTAAATTAGAACTGTCATTATACAGCTTATCTCACCTTTTTATTCTTTTCTTCTTTCCAGCTATTTTATACTCCGATAACTGTTAGTTTAAGATTCTTAAAAGATCCTAAGAGCTTTACCATTGCCTTGTATCATTGTCACCTTTTTCAGGTAAAGCATCTTTTTCCTACTAAAAGAAAATGTGTAAAATAAGAATTCAATGCACCACAGTAAAAGATACTCCTATTTACACAAATTGAGTCACTTATAACGTAATTAAAGGTAAATCTCTATAACAACAGTAATAGGTAACCTCGTTAAAATAGTAAGTAATCTGCTGCATGCAATGGGTTAAATTATGTCAATGTATATAATTTAAGTGCAAAGAAAAATAAGGATATTGTTTATGACACGAGTTAAGTAATTTCCCAATCGAAGTGATATTGTGGATTGAGTTCAGAATCACATGCAAACATTAGAGATGGTGACATTGAATGTAATAATTTGTACGTGAAATGTTTATAGGTGGAAGTGAAAGAAACAAGACGAGAAGAAGACACAAAAAGAAATGGGGAGCAGGTGGAAGAGAGAAATACTAATAATTACAAAGGGAAGCAGAGCAGTAGTAAGAGCAGGTACAGGGAAATTGGTGCAGGGTGCTTGTCATGGAGGAGTTTATGTATGAGAGAAAAAAAGCATAATAGTACTAGCTGTAAATCTATAAGGAAGAAGAAGAAGAAAAACAACATTTTTCTTTGCCATATAAATGGATGTTAAATGGAACAATATTATGTCCTTGCTTTTGGATAGAAAGATTCTTTCTTTCCCTTTGATCAGTAGTACTATAACTTGTCTCTTCTCTATTTCTCTCTTGTTTCTTAGATACTACAAAATCTATTAGAGGAACATGAAAGTGCAATCATGAATTGCAGCAGTTCAGAATAGGGTCATGCATTTTTTTTTTATTAATCTTTTTCTGTTTTTTTGCCTTCTAGGTATGTTATGTACTTATGTTCTTTAATTTCTCTTTCTTGTTACATAATTTTGTTCTGAGTAGAGCTGACAACTTGACTATCACGTGCATGCATGCTTCCGTTAGAAACCAAAATTCTGTGCTACGGGTGTAAAAGAATCTATTCAAACATACTGTTGTTTTAACCATGTCCAATTATTGCATGGTTCGTGATTGTGAAACTGATATTAATTGAGAAAGATGCTCAAATTAAAAAAGAAAACACCAATTGATATATTATTGCAGCAGTACTTTTATTCTGAAAGAAGAATTTATAAGAATGACTTTGTTGAAAATTATCAAACAGTTCTAACTAAGATTGTGTTGAGGTTTTGTTTTTAAGATGAAATAGTCTTAAAATGAGGGTGAATGGGAAATGGAGGGAAAATGAAATTTTGAGTAAAATTTTAAGTTTCCCCCTCTTGACAATGAGACATTGTCCCATATTGGAAGAGGAAAAGATTTTTGGTGGGTATATATATAATTGCTCTTCTTGTAGCTCTTAAAGAGTTAAGAAGAAAGCAAGCCTCGCGTCGTCGTCGCTCGGCTTCGGATTCTGATTAATTTTTTGGACCAAATTTATTTGTTAATAGTAAATATTAACGTAAGATTATCCGCATTTGTAACGGATATTTTCCAATCCGTGTATTGACCATTTGGCAGCCGCCTAATGCTCTTCCCACCATGAATGTGCTTGCTCCACAAACATGAATGTGCTTGCTCCACAAACATGTAATGCTTGCTCCACCATGGAGGGTGGACGTTTGGTCTTCTTCAACACTGGCTGCTATATATATGTGCAGCAGATGTTGAAGAAAGACACTCAACACACAACACACAATTCGCTCAACAAATTGGCTATACAATTGCACTCCTTCCTCTCAGCATTTCCATACGATTTTCTGAGTTTCTACTCCTTCGTTCTGCATTGTTTTAACTTCAAACAAAGCAACTGTAAGTGTGATTTGCTACCGAACTTTGTGTTCGCTGAAACACTGGGGTTTGAAGTACCGCTACACCAGTGTGTTATTCGTTCTATCCTGGGAGGAAATAATCCATTACCTTGGGTACTAGGAGGGGATTAAATTCCTTAAGGAAACACTGTGAATTCAGTGGGCTCGAATTAATTACTGTTTCATTACGTTAACTTATATTTTGCAGAATTATTATTTACAAATACAGCAATATTGGCGGGAATAACAGATTGATCTTGGCCAACACCTTAAAAGAACATATTTAGTACCTTAGCTTTACAGCGGTATATTGTCAAAACATCATAAGAGTTCTTGATTAATGTAACTTCACTATTCTAAGATATGCTGCAACTTGAAGGAAGCAATCGATCATCTAAAGCTTGAGAAGAGGCTTAACGAAACCTATATCCAAACTCAACTTCATACTGGGTGCAAACCAAGGTGAATGCATGTTGGAGACTACTTTATTTAATTCACGAAAGTACTTCATAGGTAAGAATGAAATACTGACGATTTTACTAGAGTAATGTAAGTAATTTACTAGAGTTTATATGGCGTAAGTTTTTTGCATTGGTAGTGCAAAATATAATTATATAATTAAATTACTTGTAAGATAAAACTATATATACTCCAGTAACTAATGTGCTATCACATAAACTTTACTGATAATATCAATGTTAAAAATATTTACACAAAAAGAGCCTATATATCATAAAGTACTCAAGACGTAAATGAGTGGTGCTGGTGGGTCCCCCGGCAAAGAATAGCCTACTTAAACATATGCAACTCTACTGTCCACTTGTTATTAAGAAAAAGAAGGGAAGGAAAATTATATAGGCGGTCTAAGTTGACCTAAGAAACATTTTCTTTTCGAGCATTTAATCCTGGTTTAACTAAATAGATTTAGTGGGACCTACTCAAAGCCCAAACACTGGCTATGGGAGTGCTTTTACTACAGGTGGCAAAGTTTTAGTGGGACAATGGTGATAAGGTACAATTTCATTTGGATCTTTCTGTTTCTTCGTACGTCTTCCATAGCCTAATTAAGGATATCATTAGACACTCATGTTTATCTTCTACTAATCAATATTAGTAATACTGTAATCCCTTCCCTGCATTAAATGGAACTGATGAGGCCGCCGGTACTTGTGGCTGCTGTCTTGTTTATGGACATCTCTCCAACTATCTCGGACGATCACTTTTAGTTCTTCTCTAAAGGTCATATGTTATATACTTAATTCTCTTCTTTTACTAAACACTCTCTTCTGTTACAGTAAAGGTAGAATAGTAAAGTCTCTGTATGTAACATGGAATTTTATGTCGAGATCAAGAAGGGGTTGTGTTTGCACGCTTTAATGATCTAATGTTTGCTGTTATACATGAATGAAAGTAAGTATTTCATTGCAATAGTTCTGTAATTGATCAGAGTGATCTTTACTTTGGTTGTAAGGCAGTTCAGTACTGTTCTGGCATGTGATTGAGCTAAATCTTGAGATGGACTCAGTAAAATCACTACACTAAATAAGGATTAGAATTAGCAAGTCAATTAGGAAGTGATATTACAATTGCTCGTTCAAATATTAGTTTTTCATTCATGGGACAACATATCAAAATAAGGCATGTAGCTGCACTAATAGCGTAAAAATTCTTTAATTGTCAGTGTATATCCTAGAAGCTAGCAACGCAGAATAATATTTTCATAAGCTAAAAAAGTCCCTAAAAGAATTGTTGGCCTTGGACGAATTATAGGCATACTCAAGCAAAACGCGCCATATATAATATATATTGCTTTCAGAAGTTGCATCACTAGAAATATTTAAGGACTTTGCAAAAAATTTCACATTATAACACATTTTTATAGAGGCTCTCATACATGACACCCCACTGAGGCTTAGTAAATTGCAGGGTGTACTTCCATAAACTTTGTAGTTCATACAATTCGTTGATATCATACAAAATGAAAGTGCATTTGGTTCTGATACAAATCTTCTTTGGATGCAGAAGTTTATGTACAAGAAAGTTTGACATTTTCTCAATTCACAAAAATATATCTAAGGTCACTAGTAAGAATGACCATGCATTACTTTAAGGAACTAGTATAATGCTGAAAAAGATATAATGGTGTTGACTACAGTATTATTGGGAAGAGTTCATAGCAGGGGATGCATTCCACAGCTAGTTTTGCCTAAAATAAGTCATGTATATAAAGAGAAAAAAAGAATGCACCTCTTTGTATCCCGGCTTTCACATAGCACTCAGAGAAGAATATTTTGGACAGTGAAATCTGCACTGAACAATCAGGAGAAGCAACTGAGAGCCTTAGATTCTTACTTCCAAAAGCTCAATAATAGAACAGGAGCTTCCTCTTCGAATGAGATAGAAGAAATAACTGGCAAAAATCATCAACTTAAAGCAGAGAAATCACTGAAATCTTTAAATGATTTTAGTGGAAAAGCCAATGGAGGTAAGAATGCAAGCAATGCTATTTTATGGACTAACTTTGTACTATCAACTATATTGTTGTGATCTAGCAAACCTTATACTTATCTTGTTCAGGTGCAGAGTCAAAATTGCATGCTTTTTCGTCTTCTGATGACGAAACATTTGAAGAAGCATCATATTTTTCCATGAAAATGATCAACAGTGGTGGCAGGGCTAAGAAACTAAAACAGTACTTGAAGTTAAAAGCTAAGGACATTGGCAGTTCAAACCAAGAATCATCTAGTTTTTACTTGATGTAAGACACCAACTTCCTATTGAAATTTTGCAACTGCTACTTTAGTCATGTATATATTCTAACTTTCTACCATTTCTAATGCGTTCTGCCTATCTTGATGCAGAGGAATACTGGCTTCTCTAAACATTGCAGTTTTCCTCTTCGAGACAGCTAGTCCAGTCAGGAACTCTGAAATAGGGATGCTTTCACTTCCAATGGTATATGGAGCAAAGATAAATCATTTGATCCTACTTGGCGAATGGTGGAGACTTCTGACACCAATGTTTCTGGTACAAGATTGAAAATTGGTTCGTCCTTAAATGATTGAATTGCCCTAGAACTGTATAGAAGTACAATTAGATTGTAGCATGGTATATGATTAAGTTATTTGCCACATGTTCTTTCAAAGAAGTTTTGTTACATAAAATCAGCTTTTGCTGATGAACCTAGAGTGGACTAGATTTATTCAAGATATACAGAAGTAAAACAGCATGTATAGCAACAGATAAGCTTAATTCGTTGTTAGGAACAGAACGTATAGGTTACTGACTATGAGTGTAACCTCTATACACTGATAGTATAAATGCTTTTTACAATATCTGGTCGTTTAAAAGATAATTACAGGTAACTACATATTTAGTAACATGAATGTAAAATTTTCATTAAATTATCAGTGAATATAGCTTAAATCCATTTAATTTAATTATTGATCTGCTATATTGCAGCACTCAGGAGTCCTTCACATAGCCCTTGGTTGTTGGGTGCTTCTTAGTTTTGGGCCTCAAGTATGCAAAGCATATGGTTCATTTGCATTTTTCCTGATATATATTCTTGGAGGTATTTCTGGTAACCTAATCAGCTTTCTTCACACCCCAGAGCCAACTGTTGGAGGAACTGTAAGTTCCATTGCCATTACATCAAATTCTTTTTTTCTCATTTCAACCTATTTGGCATCAATTTCTGCTCTTGCCTTCCTCAGAAGTTTTGAAAATGTGGAGTTGAAACATGTTTCTACATACATATATGTAAAAATGAAAATCTAAGTCAAAAATTGTATACTTCTTAGGGACCTGGTTTTGCTTTAATAGGAGCTTGGCTCATTTATCAAGTTCGGAACAAAGACATGATAGGAAAAGAAGGCATGATTGAGAAGGCGATGATGGTCACTGCTTTCAGCTTTGTGCTTAGCAACTTTGGGCCTATAGATAACTGGTTAGTACTACATTCAGTCTTAAATATTAGTCGTTTTGGCAAACTTGATTTGTTTTTAAATATTTGACTTTAATTATAATTGCAGGGCACATTTTGGAGCAGCTTTAATGGGAATAGCATATGGTTATCTTACATGTCCAACTCTTCAACTTGACAATGCAGCTTCAGAAAGTGGACAAAAAGAAGGAATCACATTGTTTAAACAATATTCAGATCCTTGTAAATCTCTTCTTTGCTTCTCAGTCTTCATTCTGCTGCTGGCTTCCTTGCTTTTGGTAATAGAACCTCCTCTCAACTCAATAGCTGAAGCTGCAGACAGGTTCTAAGCTGAAGCAGAGTGCTTAAAACCCCAAATACCTTATAAATAGGCGTGTTGTATATAGTTTTTGAATGTAATGAGTCTTTTGCAAATTCTAACTTATCGTCTGTTCAAATTTGGTTGCTCCAAAACAAGGAGTAACAACATTGGCTCTATTTATATAGGAAGAACCAAAAACCTAGGTTTATGCTTTTAGATTTTTTTTATTCTTTGAACCTTAATAATTTCTTCGATGTTTATGTGCAAAATCATAAATTAAAATTGTCTTTGAAATAAAACAATAAAAGAAAGAAGAATAAAATTGCAGAGAAAAGAGAAATAAGATTCTTATTAATTTTGGGATGATTTACAATGGGGTAAAGCCCCTCGATTTATATTTCCACGTGGCAGAACCTCCTCAGGTAATATAAGGTTTTCATGAGGNATAAGTCGGGCATTCCCGGCCCACCAAGCGAAACCAGTGGTTTCTTGGTCACGACCAGCTAAGGCTAAAGTTCCATTAAAGAGCGTTTCCACGTGGTAGAACCTCCTCAGGGAATATAAGGTTTTCATGAGGTTGATCTTGAGCCGCCATCCAAGCGCGAATACCTTCGTTTAAGAGAATATTTTTGGTGTAGAATGTCTCAAATTCAGGATCTTCCGCTGCGCGAATTTTCTGAGAAACGAAGTCATAGGTACGTAGGTTCAGGGCTAGACCGACTACTCCAAGAGCACTCATCCGCCCTTAGTAAGCTATCTTTGGTTGCTAAGCAAGCCGGGCACTACACTAGGACGTGGATCGATCATGGCAAGAATGGACTTCTCCGTAATGTACTGTAAATGTAATAGAAGAGGCAGAGTCCAATTCCCCTCCCTTTTCGACCAAACGAAGAAGATATGAATTCCATTTAGGGGGGTCAGGGCTTGGCTTGACCCTGTGTTCTCCCGGGTCGGAGATGAGAACTTGAAAGTGAATCATTCAGTGGTGGGGTGTTCATAGAATAGAAGGCCTCGCTTGGAGAAAAATGACTTAGACACAAAGTAACAAACTGTCTAAAAGATAGACATTCACTCTAAGTACAATTCTATTCATAACACTCTCCCTTGAATGTCTACTCAATAGGTAATGTGCTTCGTTAAAACCTTAACTAAAATAAAACCCAGTGGAAAAAAATTCTAGAGAAGGAAAAATAGTACATGTGTTTAGAAATACGCCTTTTGGTTGCCTCGTTAAAAACCTTGCAAGGAAAATCCAGTGGGACAAAATTTTATAAGGGAAAAAGAGTACAACGCGTATTAACTCCCCCTGATGAGAGCATCAATTCACATCCTTGAGCCTTCGCGTCCCAATCTTGTACACCAGCTTCTTGAAGGTTGATGTTGGTAGAGATATGGTGAACAAATTAGTCATATTATCACTTGAACGAATCAGTTGCACATTGATATCACCATTCTTTTTAAGCTCATGTGTGAAAAATAACTTCGGTGAAATATGTTTTGTCCTATCTCCTTTTATGAATCCTTCCTTCAATTGGGCTATGCATGATGCATTGTCTTCATACAAAATCGTGAGTAGTGTGTCACATTTCAAACCACATTTGTTTCGAATAAGATGTATTATAGACCTCAACCACACACATTCTCGACTTGCTTCATGAATAGCAATTATCTCAACATGATTAGATGAGGTAGCCATGATTGATTGCTTAGTCGATCGCCAAGATATGGCAGTGCCTCCACATGTAAACACATAGCATGTTTGAGATCGAGCCTTGTGTGGGTCAGATAAATACCCAGTATCGGCATAACCAATAAGATCGAGACTGCATTCGTTGCCATAAAATAAGCCCATATCGGTAGTACCTTTTAGATACCGCAATATATGTTTGATTCCATTCCAATGTCTCCTCGTAGGAGCAGAACTATATCATGCTAAGATATTAATTGAAAAAATTATGTCAGGTCTTGTAGTATTAGCAAGATATATTAGTGCACAAATTGCCCTAAGATATGGTACTTGAGGACCAAGTAGTTCTTCATTCTTTTCTTAAAGTCGGAACGGATCCTTATTCACATCAAGTGATCGAACCACTATCGGAGTACTTAATGGATGTACTCCATCCATGTAAAACCGTTTCAATACCTTTTCTGTGAAGGCAGATTGATGAACAAAAATCTCATTTGCGAAATGTTCAATTTGCAAACCGAGACATAATTATGTCTTCCCGAGATCTTTCATTTCAAATTCCTTCTTTAAATAATAAATTGCCTTTTGGAGTTCTATAGGAGTTCCAATAAGGTTTATTTCATCAACATATATGGCAAGTACAACAAACTTCGATGTTGTTTTCTTTATAAAAGTACATGGACAAATGACATCATTTATATAACCTTCCTTTAATAAATACTCACTAAGGCGGTTATACCACATTCGTCTTGATTGCTTTAGATCATACAAAGATCTTTACAATTTGATTGAAAATATGTCTCGGGACTTTAAATTATATGCATCGGGCATTTAAAATCCTTCGGGAATTTTCATGAATATCTCATTATCAAGTGAGTCATAAAGGTAGGTTGTAACCACATCCATTAAATGCATGTCAAGCTTTTCATGGACAACAAAACTAATGAGATAACGAAATATTATTGCATCCATAACAGATGAATATGTCTTTTCATAATCGACACCAGGCCTTTGTAAAATATTTTGGGCAATAAGGCGAGCCTTATATCTTTGTACCTCATTTTTCTTATTCCTCTTGCGTACAAAGACTCATTTATAGCCAACAGGCTTAACACCATTAGGTGTTTGGACTACAGGCCCAAAAACTTACGTTTCACAAGTGAATTCCCATTCTGGCCAATCAAGTCTTTGTCGACATTCTCCAACAGATTGAGGTTCAAAATCCTCACTATCTTGCATAATTCTAGATGCAATATTATATGCAAAGACATAATCTACGACTATATCCAATCGATTCAAATTTGTCTCAATATCGATTTAATTTATTGGTAGTCCCTTATTTTCTTGAGTGGCATGCTCAATGATTTCATCATGAATCTCAGGATTGGTTAAATCGTTGATTTCTTCATTAGGCTCTTTCGTAGTGTCATCTTGATCATTTATTTTTCTTTTTCTAGGATTTCGATCCTTAGAACCCAATGGTCTGCCACGCTTTAGGCGTGCTTTTGACTCACTAGCTACAACACTAGAAGATTGTCCAACAGGAACATCAATACGAATTGAAACATTCTCTGTAGGGATATGTGATTTTGTTATCATTTTCAGATTTGTAAATGCGTCTGGCATTTGATTTGCTATTTTCTGCAAGTGAATGATCTTTTGAACCTTTGTTTCACAAAAAGAGGCATGTGGATCAAAATGAGATAATGATAGATTTTTTCACAAAATTTCCTGCTTGTTTTCACCAATTTCTCCCCCTAATTTTGGGGGAAATGCCTCATCGAATCGACAATCTGCAAATCGAGCATTGAACAAATCTCCCTTTAATATTCCGAGGTAGCGAATAATGGAGGGCGATTCAAACCCAACATATATTCCTAACCTTCTTTGGAGACCCATTTTGGTGCGATATGACGGTGTTACAGGCACATATATTGCGCATCCAAAAATTCTTAAATGGGATATAAGGTTCATGACCCAAAATTAATTGCAACGGGGAATATTTATGATAATTTGTCGGTCTGAGACGAACTAGCATTGTTACATGCAAAATGGCATGATTCCAACAGAAGTAGGTAGCCTCGTTTTCATGAGTAACGATCTTGCTATCAATTGCAGACGTTTAATCAAAGACTTACAAGACCATTTTGAGTGTAAATATGAGCTACATGATGTTCTACTTTTATCTCAATTGATAAGCAATAATCATTAAATGTTTGGGATAAAAATTCAGCAGCATTATCAAGTCTAATAGATTTAATTGGATTATCGGGAAATTGTGCCGGTAATCGGATTAAGACCATGAAATATCTAAACGACCCACTAGGTGGGTGAATATGTCCACAAATATCCCTTTGTATACGTTCTAAAAACGCAGGTGACTCAACCCCAACCTTTGTTGGTGATGGTTTAATAATTAACTTGCCTTGATAACAAGAAGTGCAAGAAAATTCATTATTTAAAAGAATCTTTAAATTCTTTAATGGATGCCCATTTGAGTTTTCTATAATTTTCTCATCATAATTGATCCAGGATGTCCCCAATCGATCATGCCAAAGTACAAAAGTATTGGAATCAATGAACTTTTGGTTTACGATAGAATATGTCTCAATTGCACTAATTCTTGTCCAATACGTGCCACAAAATAAAGATGAGAATTTCTCAATATACCCTAATCTTGTCAGAGACATTTTTGGTAACGATGAGATATTCAAGATTATTCTCATCTATTGTCTCAGTATGAAATTCATTTCGGCGGATATTTTTAAAACTCAACAAGTTCCTCTTGGACTTGGAGGAGAATATTGCATCATCTATGATAAGTGTTGTTCCCCTAGGGAGAGTTATAGTAGCTCTTCCAGAGCTTTCAATTAGATTACTACTACTAGAAATTGTAGTAGCATATGTCTTACACATACTTAAATGAGAAAAATATTTCTTCTCTTTGAATATTGTATGTGTCGTACATGAATCAATTAAACAAATAGTTTTACAATTAGACTTTGATCCAAGTTTGCTTTGTGAGATATCCATATTTGCTTCCCACGGTTTGACATACAAAAGAAATATACGAATAAATAGGCAATTTTAATAAATTTGCAATAATAATAAATGCAAAATGATATTTATCATTAAAAAAGAAACTAAAACATCAAGTTCGATACGTAATATATAGTAACCATTATTGTATGCGGGTAGTGATTTTCTAAATAAAACCAATTAGTCTGAGAAGTAATGTCAATATTAAGAGTAGCTAAAGAATAGTATAATTTTATTGTCAGTTCTACTAATAATCCCATATTATGCACTATAGTAATTGGCCGATGTAATAATGACACTAAAACTTAGTACATAACTGTTCATATTAAAGCAACTAAATTTTGGAAATGCTCCCAAGTTCCCACCCATTATATTCAACATATTCCCTATATTCTACAATTAAAAAACATACTTAGAAAAAAGTATTACTTGTCTAAAAATGGTATCTTGATATTTAATAGTAAATGGTGCAAAAGTTGTTTATAGGAGTAAAATAAAATTTAAAATTCAAGCAAGATAACAGTCGATATAAAGAATTAAGTACTAGTTTACCAATAGATCTGCGAGCTTCATTTTAGACAAGGTATAATTGATTAATTAAGTGTGCAATGGCTCATTGTTGAATAAAAAATTATATATCGAGCAAGTCTGAGATAATATGCGATAAATTGTTTCAAGACTGACTTAAGTTGCTCTTCTTCTTTTTTTTTTGTTTGTAGAAGATAGTATATAAATTTCGACTCTCAACCAAAACTTTTAATTTTACTTCCATTCCCTAAAATGGAAAAAGGAAAGAAAAAGAAAAAAAGATCAGTTGACTATTGTATAGCCATTCTAAAAGGTTGCTATTTAAGAATTAGTTAATGCGTCTTGAATTTTGATTTTTGAGTTTAAATTTTCGGGATAAAAATGTCCTGAATTGTCCTAAAGTTAAGATTTTTAGTTTAAAATTTCAGGATAAAATCTATACTGGCTAATCTCTAAATAGTATCGGTGAGGATAGTTATCTGTGCACTTGGCGAGGGGCCTCGAACCATGGGCTTGGGCTTCGAGAGTGTCTGCGCAATGGGCTTAAGTAACAAATGCAAGCCCACCAACATAAAGAAGAAGCATAAAACCAAGTTGTAACACCTGTAAAGTGTAGCAAAGGAGTCGCGACCACGTATCCAACAAACAAAATACTAAACTCCTATTTTCAGGAAAAAAACAGACATGCAACCATCAATACTATAAGCAAAAGCAGAGGAACTCTGACTCTCAGCTGAGCCTAATTAAGTTAATCAAATTTAATGGCGAACGGAAGGGGTGGCAGAAGCCTAATGGGACCATTCTTGGTCATAAACTTCGTAGTTTATTTAATAATACTAGGACTTGCTGCCTGGTCACTTGACAAATACATAGATGGCGAACAAAATCACCCCCGTATAATATTCAGCACTTAATTTCCTTCTTCATAAAATAACATACTTTTGAGTTCTCTGTTCGATAGTGTATATATATAGTTTGTTTAATTGCTCTGTTTGTGTTTGTGCAATGTAACAGATTTAGGTGGGAATACATCGACAAGTTTTATGTTGATATTTGCATTGATTGGTGGAGTCATGGGTGCTTCCTCTATGCTAGCTGGGTTTGTTCATCTCAGAAAATGGAATACTCAAAGTTTGGCTAGTGCTGCTTCTTCAGCTATCATCTCTTGGGCCATTACTGCTCTTGCTTTTGGGTACTACTAATAACTATTACTACCTCCTGACCTATATTTTTTTTGTCATTTGGCCAATGAATTTGTTTCAAAATAGTTCGTATTTTAGAAAAATAAGAAATGTTTATTACCTTGTTTCCAAATTAACCGTACCAATTCAATTAATGGTAATGGAATATTAAGTAAGTAGTATGATGTTTAAGAGAAAGTGCAGGATAGTTTAGACGAATACTTTATGGTTATTACTATAGGCAGACCTACCCTTTGGGTGGGGTCATCGGCCACCGATAAAAGTGTATATATTTTGATTGTCACCCTAACATTCAAATCTTCGGTTGTTGTATTGGTTGATTCGGGTGCACAACTTGACTTTTAGTGGTTCATTCCGACTTCAGCATATGCTCAAATTTGCCTCTGATTACCATATGTGTTTTTCTCAAGGGGTGTCTAAAATTTTAAGACATAATATGGATCGAAGGTAGTATTCCTTTTACTATTTTGAGACATTCCATGATTATACAATAAATTGCTAATCTTCTCACTGTGTTGGATGAACTTGTGATGCAGTCTAGTTTGCAAGCAGATAATAATGGGAGGGCACAGAGGAAAACGCCTGGTAATTGTCTCTGTAAAACCTCCATTTATTACCAGCATTTAATATTCAGCTACAAAATTTGTTCTAATGTTAAGAAGTCATTTCAACTTTTCTTTTTGTTGGTATAATTAATGGACAGCAAACTTTGGAAGCCTTGATTACCATAGCAATGGTGAGTCAATTACTGTATATACTGTTGCTGCACGCTGGCATTTTCCGCAACAGGTACGGACCTGTTTATGGTTCCTATGGGCCTCAGCACTAGCTTTCTCCAGCCCCTTCCTTTGTCTGGCTCTGAAATTGCTCGATTCAGTTACACTGATAATGTACACTTTGGAGTCGGTATATATAAATTAAATCCATAGAAATAGCTAATGGAAGTAGATGTTAGTCTGGTTTCTGGGATGGCTCAGCTACCATTCTTCTTCTTCTTTTAGTATAGTTTATAAGGATATTTATTTGTTTTTTAGAGAATTTTCCACTATGCGGATTAGACTCAAAATGATGTACTTTGTACGGTCAATATCTGAGGTAAACTTGGACATTGTATGCCTAATATCTGGGGAAAAGTATGCTTGCTTTTCAATAAAGTGGTTAACATTTTAGATGTCACTCCATTTCCCTCAACTAGCATAGAAAGAAATAGCTGCACATGAAAAAATGGATTTTCGGCTAAGATGGGAAAACTCGAGTTGCCAACATTTACAAGCTACATGGGGAATTCCAAACATGACAAGCAAGGGTTAGTTCCTTCATTGAAATGAAAGGTTTATGGGGAATAAGTAGTTGTGGACTGATAGAAAAGAGAAGAAACTGAAAACCGAAACCAACCGATAAGAGGAAACAGAAAGAACCACCTCAATGATTTTCGAGAAGAGGGAACAACAACAACATATATAGTGTAATTTTACAAGTGCGGTCTAAGAAGAATAGTGCGTAAGTTAATTTTACCCCTATCTTGTGCAAGTGGAGAATTTATTTCTGATAGACCCTCCGCTTAAGGAAAACATAGTCAGTAGTCACATCAGTTTAAAAAAGAAATACGATAGTGAAGAAAACATGGAAAAAGAAGTGGTAACAGTATCAAGACAATAAGAAAACCAAAGCTGAAAAAATATTTGGTAGTAATAGAAATCTAAGAATAAGAAAATACAAGAATAATACTAGTACTAGTGATATGAAAAATACGCTCAACTACCTATTAACTTTCTACCTTAAATTACACCCTCTTATTAAGAATCATATTCTCGGTAAGCTAAAGATGAATCATATCCTGCCTAATCACCTTACCTCTCCCCGGTACTTCTTCGGTATTTATACAGTTACAAGTTTTTAAACCAACACTAATGGAGACGAGTCTTTCAGGTTTTGTAAAAACTGAAAGAAGCATTAATAAGAACTTTTCTCTAATGGCGTTTGCAAAAACTGAAAATCTTCTGACTTTTTCTTTTTACCTGTTTTGAGAATAAACGCATTCGACTATGCTGCGTGCACGAGAGCTTAATATCCTAGTACAAAAATTAGCGCTCGTGGCATTGTAATTCCAACACCTAGATTTAAGCATCAAGAAAGGAAAATTCCCTTATTCTGAATATAGTACCAATAGAGCATATTCTATTAATCCTACATATTTCTGCCTCTTTATAATATCCAGTGCCTCTCTATCCCATCTTAAAACTGGATTTTCCACCTGAGTCACATGCACAGCTCATAATCTTCATATTACAAGTGCAACCACCTTATACAACAGTGACCCTGAATTCAGATTTACATCTGACGGTTTCATACCGACTATTCGGATTCTGCCTGCCACTCTACAATCGCCAGAGTATGGCGGCCACCACAAGCAACGAGTTTAGCACACCAACGCCCTCCTTCAGTGCTACTGACATCACTTGGAGGTGGAATATTTATCGGAACTTCTGATGGGTGGCCAGTTGTCACCTTTCTACCATATCCTAGTCGTCCATGGTCTCCCCGCCCGAACTGCCACATGAGAGTTGTTAGTTTATCTTCAAGACAGTACTGCAGAATAACTAATCATCAATTGTATAGTAATCATTATTACACCAATGACTATCGTAATGATTTTAAATGCCATAAGGTAAGATAGAATTTCTGTTTCTGATGACCCCTTGCTCTCACTCCCTTGGTGATGGATGTTTCAAATGGAAATTTGAGGTATTATCTACAAATGCCGGAGATGTAAGCATTTAACCATTGTACAACACACTCACATCTACACTTTTTCCAAAAGCTTAAAAATGGATTGCCCCCAAGATTATTATTCGAATGCTTGTTGTTATAACAAACTGGCTAATGAACTTTTAGACAAGACGTTTGCAATGTTTTCCTTAAAGATTTTTAAACAAGTAAAAAGATGGGCTTTAGCATGAGACTAGTTTATGCAAATTGAAGGCTTAAAAGAAAAAAAGAGTATCTGATACTCACAGAAAACATACGACCATCATGTGTTAATGCAACAGAGTGTGTGCCACCACATGATATCTGCATCATCAGAAAAGGAAATCACCTACATAAATTATTAAAAGAAAAGAAAAGGGGGGAATGCTTCTTGAATATCATGGTACAAGTTAGAGCTTAGAAATGGAACGCAATGCTTCTTCTCAGAGCACGGATCGACAAGAGGAATAAATGGATAGGCATGGGGTGGACAAGAAAAAATAGAATAAAAACTGAATTAAATTTACCATACCCTGGATCAGATAGTTCAGAAATATGTCAATGATACCAGATATTTCGAAAACAACAAGAAACAACTTCTTAACATTCAGATTACTCTTCTTCCAATCTCTATGAACTATGAAGCAATGATACCAAATTTAATGTTGCATCTTGGTCAGTGGCATAGCCAGGAATCCCGCCAAGGGTGTTCTAACCTTAAACAAGTTAATAATTTTTTTTGTCGATGAATGGTATAAACTATTTGAAAAAAGCCAAACAGACCACACAGAGGTCTCCGTTTAGTTTTGGCAAATAAAATGGGCAGATAACTTTGAATCCATGAACAACACAATCACTTTGAACATTCTGGACCGTTGAACTACCTCACTCAATTATATTAAGGGTGTTCAATATATAATATATAACAATATAAAATAGTATTTGACTTATATACGCAATATAATTTTCCTACCATTCGCTTGACCACCCTTGGCATAGTGTGGCTATGCTATTGATCTCGGTATCAGACACCAATTGGTCACACACACTGCCAAGTGTTGGACATATTTTACATTTGGTTTTCCTGCATTCTTTTATTTTCTTGGCACGCATGCCCTTGGTTAATTTGTTTTGCCTATTGGTTTGGTCACAAATGTCCTATTTTTGGATGCCAAATTGTCACCAAGTATGCCCCAAAATTGACGAGAAATATTGGGGCACCGGTGTAATGAACAAAAACTTTTAGAGACCGTTAGCCTAAAAAATTTGCTGAATCACCCTAAATCTACACCCTGGAGAGATCAACGACAATGGAAAATATACAATCAAACTTGAAGAAAAACCGACATTCTTACCCAAACTTGAAAGAAGAAAAATAGCTAAATTTGATAAAGAAAAGAGCATTGTTATACCTTATTACCCCTGATTTGATGTTTTGTTTCTCAAAATTCCAGTCTTTTTTACTTCTTTTTCTTCAGTTCCACTCTGAGTGTTCTATTTTTGCTTTTCAGTTGTAGATTAAGGGGGCATTTGGACATAAGAATTGTAAAATTCCAAAATAGGGGGAAAATTTTTTTCAAGTGAAAATAGTATTTGAAATTTAGAGTTGTGTTTGGACATGAATATAATTTTGGGTTGTTTTTGAAGTTTTGTGAGTGAAAATTTTGAAAAATAATTTTTTGGAGTTTTTCAAATTTTCAAAAATTACAAAATGCATCTTCAAGTGAAAATTGAAAATTTTATGAACAAAAAGGCTGATTTCGGAAAAAAGTAGATTTTTTTGGAAAAAAGGGAAAAATTTCTTATGTCCAAACGGGCTCTAAAATTCTCTTTCTTTTGCTATATGTTTTATCTGGTGCTATTTGGATGCTTTACCTAGAATATATGGAATCTAATCTTTGACAGTTATTATTTATTAATACTCCTTGCAATGTTCCACATATTAGCTTAGGCTACTCATATTTGGTATAATACAGTGTCCAAGTTGTGTGTGTCCCCCTTTATCAAAAAAAATGTTGTGTACTGTCCCCTTAGTTCTGAAAACTTCCTGTCCATATTTGTGCCACTTAGATGATGAGCAATATTTCAGTCTCAAGTAGACTCTAGCAAAGGCATCACTCTATGTCAGTCTAAAATAATGAACACAAGTACAATTCTCAGTTTTCCTGGACGCAAAGTTATATTCTTTTTATGGCTAGCTTCCCACCTCCATCAGATACAAAAAGAGTGCTGACGAAGCACAGGGCAGTGGCTTCCATAGTGATGAGCAGAAGAGAGACCCGCTAATAATGAAGGATATGAAGAAGTCACCTGAACAATGTTCTCCCCAGCTAAAAGTTGAACCTTCTGCGGCACCATTTTACTACTCTTGTCATCTCCAAATCCAAGTCTACCATGTTCCCCTCTTCCCCAGCCATAAACCTGCAGTAAGCAGAGGTACACACAGCTGACACAGGTTGTTGACTGTTGAGAAAATGCATATGCCTACTATATGCAGCTTCGTTAAACTACATTATTCGTATGTAAGAAGATTTATTTAAAGGAAAAAAAAACACCAATCATCAAGTTTTTTCACTTTGGTTTTGTGCAAGCCAAAAATAAGAGGATCAGGAAATCTATTGATCAGATACCATAACAATGCCATAAGGTCAGATACCCAACATTCTGCCGGAGGTGTCTTTTATCTTGACATAACATATATACTAATCATTGTTAAAGAAAAGTACAGGACAAACAAAGCAAAAATATCAAGCAGAACTAATATAAATGGTAAAACACTAGATATACCTCTCCCTCATCTGTCAAAGCTGCAGAATGCCATCCTCCAGCAGCAATATCAACCTGGACATGACGACAGAAACATCTTACATAGTTTTTCTATATACATCTTACATTCTCTTATTGATGTATATTATTATTTATTACTCTTTGGCCCTGTTTCAGTTCTAAAATCAATAGAATTGATAGAGGCTGGTTATTTCATGCATCAAGATTGTTGGTAAGGTAATATATCAAAAGAAAATTGGACTGAACTACTAGACACACAGGACACAAATTTTTGAGAAAAAGAAGATACATAAGGACAAGCAGAAGATGGATGATTTAAATGACCAATTAAAAATCATCTTGCAAACAAAATGAGTCAAAATGACAAGAAGCACAGATTAATACAAACCAAAGTGAGACCAGATAGCCCTTGAACAGCAATGGGTTGTGATCTTGGCTGGGTATCACCAGTTCCAAGTTGCCCATACTCGTTATTACCCCATGCCATTAAAACTCCATCATCAAGAAGTGCCAAGTTATGAAAGGCTCCTACTGCAATCAATCTCACACTTGCAAGGCCTTGTACACGGACAGGCGTAGAAATTTGCTTTCTGCAAAGTTTAGTGCAGCACTGA